GTCATGTATGAAAAAGAGATTGTTGGTCATTGTCTTATGAAGGGTTCCCCTCATCAAGACAGGAGTTAGTTTTGCTGTTATTGTTTTGGTAAGCAAGATAATAAAATTTGACTTTTCTTTCCAAAGGACACACAACCTCTTAAAGATGTGTCTTCAAATGAGAAAAGGCAAAAAGAAAAGAAAAAAAAGAACAACAAAATTAGGGAGAAAGAAGTTTATGTCATGTGGGGAGATTTCTGGGTGCTTGTGAAAAAACTCCAAGAAACAAGAGTCTTGTGACCTCAGTTCCTTCAAAAACACAGAATTGTTCTTGATTATTCTTTCGTGCCCCTCCCAGGCATAGTGGACAGGAGTGAGTTTACTTTCGATTATTCATTACAACTGGCTGTTTTTGTTTATATGCTTCTATGAAAAAACATGTTTGTGCTGTTTGACGCTTGCCTGCCATGTTCAGTTTGCTGTTGTGATTGCACACTTTACTCATGTGACTCTTCTTAACCCTCGGAGTATACATTGCCTGGTGCTTTGAATAAAGTTGGCTATTGATGAGACTTTAGCCTGCCTCATTTATTGTCTCCATTCTCCCAGGTGCCACCACCTTTAGAGCAGTAAACAGGTTACAAGGGGGTTAGTAAAAAACGAAGTGTTATATGTCTGGAAAAGAACCTGTTGTGTTCAATAGCTCTAAAAAAAATAAAGATAACTATGCTATCACTACTCAGCTCCTGGTGTCAAGGAAGGAACAGAACAGAAGAGGATGCAGGATGCGGCAGAGCTGATAGGGTACATTAACCAACTTTCCCTATATCCAGATCAAGCACTTAAAAGTGCCACACTGTCCTAAAGGGAGACTAAATATAGAGGAGGATGCTCAGAGGATAGCCTGTGGGAGAAAGCAGGAGCTGCCTGTGCCAGGGTATGCACACACCAATCCCAGTGTTCTTCTAGTATCCAAGAATGATCACAGAAGTGGGTACCTGAAGGACTGCCATCATGGGAAGTCCCTTTTAAAAAACCATTTGTCTTGGGCCTTCTCTGTATATATGGCTACAGAAGGACTCAACTTCCCTTCCCAACATCCATATACATACCATTCTTAACCCAAGCCTAGATAAACATACAATCGACAGAAATACAAGATGTTTGCTGAAACCCACCTCAGTCCAAGTCCTCTGGTTCTTTTTATCTACATAGCACTCCAGTCCACCTCTAACCCTTTCTAACAAGAAATTATTAAACAAGCCCCCACTCTGTTGCCCGACCTGGCCTGGAACTCTTAATTCTCCTACATTAAGCTTCTCAAGTGCTGGGATAGCAGGTTTGTCACTGTGCCCACCTCAAAGACTTTACTACACAGAGAATTTACATTAAAAATGTCTGGGTAGATGCTAATAAAAATCAAAAGGTTTGAGTAAAAATTATGGTCTTCCAGATTTGCCTAAAAATTAAATCTGTCGATACTGAACCCGTTCACGATCACTTAAAATAATCTGCTGGACTAAGAAACTATCAGGCCTTTACATAATCCCAGCTCACCATAATCTAGTACCACCATCCCTATGACATTTTGTTTGGTCCCGTTTCACTTATTTGGGTACCAAATGGGTCCTGAAGATATCAGAAACATTGGAAATGGTCCTTAAATATGCAGCAACTACAGATGAGGGTGCTGCTGCATCTGAAGGCCAGAGAATGTTTAAAGGTCAGGCAGCCTCTGCTTGAACTACACATGTACACATGTACAAAGCCATGGTAGGCCCTGGCTCAGATTACTTCCCGTTGTCCTTTTGTGGCATTAAGGTGGGTTTCTTCAGTGAAACACAACAGTATCTCTTTGACATACATAGGCATTAGATTAAAAAGCTGACTCAGAACCATCTCTTCCAATTATAATAGGTTAGGCGCATTGCTTTTAAATTAATGGGGTCTGTGTTTCCTCATTCACAAAATGAATGGGTTTATCTAGAGTGATTATTACAGTAATTTTTATTGGCCTCTCTTTGTCTGTACCACCTCTACTTATCAAGAATCTACTTAGCAGTCAAGAGACCTTAAAAGTTTTACCACCTCCACAAAACCTCCCCAGACTTCTTTCTTTGCATGGTTTAAGCTCATCACCAACATATCCAAATTAGCATTTACTAATTCTCTAATTGCTTTGCTGTGTATTGGTTCATTCACATTTATGAAGAAAACTCCCCTGGAAACCATAACATTTAATTTTTAAATTTTTTTCCACAGCATGTTACACTTAGCTGGCATTTAGTGACTAATTATTTAAGCTGAACAAAAATACAGAAAACATGTATACAGTGGTAACCATCCCAAAGGGTGATTTTCATCAGCCTTCTTCAAATTAATTATCTTTAAGGGCAGCACAACTTTACCATTTGCTTTGGGTTGGCATAATCAATCAAGAAGTCTATTAGACATTGCTCATGAAGATTGCTTCCACCCCTAGTTGGAAAGCTCAAAAGGGAAAAACAATGTGCAAATAAACATTAACTCACTACAACACCATATTACCCATTAAAATGTTTGATTTCCATTAAAATAAGGAGTGAGAAAAAGTTACCTAAAATTAAGAAAATAATCACCTACTAGAAAAGGGGGCAGACATTAGATGTTTGAAAACTACAGTGAAAACTCCCCCACCCTTTGGATGTCATCAGAATTCTTAGTAAGAGGAGACTAAGTTAGGATCTCCTGTGGGCGGGGATTTACCCACCCTCACCGGAAAAGCAGTGGGTACAGGCTTAACTTGTTCTAGCCAAACCTCCCCCATCTCCATGTTCACTCCACCCCCAAATAACCAAGGCTTTAGACGTGAGGTAAGTTCTTCCCTATAGAAGTAAAGAAGACAAGAATAAAGAATTCACATACAATTTCTTTCCAGACTATATTTCACTTAGATATGAAGTATTTGAGTAAGGTATTCTAGGAGGAAAGATGAAGCTTTTATTTTCCCCTGTAAATTTTGTAATTCATCCTTTGTTATTGCTTTAATTTCCCTATTCAGTGAATTTAAGGGAATTGGCACAAGTTAACAGGTGTAAACCATATGTTAATAGAAGTAATACTAGTGGGCTGAAATTAGGACAATTTACAAAGTGACCTCTCTTGATGAAACTATACTAGATACCCATGCTTTTATCTAGTCCCTACACTACAGGAAGATAATTCCTTCTGAGACTCGCAGTATAAACATAGAAGGCTTGAGGGTCTGGAAAAAAAGGGGGGGCATTTACTTAGGTGTGGAGTGGATAAGGAATCAAAAGAGATCATAGCCCCAACTGTATTAAAAAGCTAGAGAAATACTGATTAAATACCTATAAAAAGAATCCCTGAGCTGAGCAGTGGTGTCGCATGCCTTCAATCCCAGCACTCAGGAGGCAGAGGCAAGCGGATCTCTGTGAGTTCGAGGCCAGCCTGGACTACAGAGTGAGTTCCAGGAAAGGCACAAAGCTACACAGAGAAACTCTGTCTCAAAACAAACAAACAAACAAAGAATCCCAGCAAAGACATAGTAAGGTTTTACAATCTGAGAATAATGAACATCTCAAATTTTAAAACAAAAACGAAAAAAGGGCATTTTTACAGAATGCCTATCCCAGCTTTCAAATCTTTCACTTGATTCTTTGTTGTTATTTTTTGTTGCTGTTGTCTTTTGAGACGGGCTTGGTTTGTAGTCCAGCTGGCCTAGAACCCTCCACAGTCAATCTCCCAGCCTCAGCTCAGCAATTGTCTGGTGTGTGGTATTTTTAAAATTATTATTATTATTATTATTATTATTATTATTATTATTATTATTATTCTCACATATATTGCATACCGACTTTGTCTTGTGTTTCTGGTCACCCAATTATTGGCCTCTTCAGGGAAAACCTATCTCGTCTATCCACACACAGCTTGAAGAGCTTAGGCGCTCTCCTCTAGCCATGCCCACACAGAGCATAAACCGGACCAGAAAGTAAGCCAAGCCTCCTTACACTTTGGCCTCCACCTCCTTCATTTAACCTCAAGAAGACCTTTTACTAGCCTAAAGCCTAGCCAGGTTTCCTCGCAGTCCTGTCCAATGAAACGTAGAGATCTCGAACAGACTCAGAGAATGGGTGTCCATGTTTCTTTCCACCGAGGTTAAGATCAGTTCTACTCTTCTAGGGTCCTCTGAAAGAAGAAACCCCAAACGGCACGGCTTTCCCATGCCTCATTAAAAGGCGTAATCCTGATCATGGGGTGAGTGCCAGGCCATATTCTGTTCCCATAAGACCACACGCATGTATGAGTTGGTCCTGAAAGGCTTTGATGTTCAACTCTATTTATTGTACCATGCCTACCGCACGAAACACATTTAACCTTCGGGCATAATTCTGTACTGAAGTTGCTCCACACAACTGCTGAAGACGACAGCCGACTACGTAATTTCAAGTCTGGAATGAAGTATCCTCGGTTCACTCCTCTACCGAACTTCCTTTTAAGGAAAAGCTCTGGAGACTGCCTACTGCGTCCGCCCCTCAGAGGGACATCAAGGCCCAGAGCTTCCGCAGCTGTCGGAAGGCAAAATCCGTACTTGGTGGCCTGGCCGGCCTCGACCCGTGCGGGATGGGGGTCCTCACCACCGACTCCTGCGTTCGGTCCACTATTACCCGCCAGGGGGCGGGGCCTTGACTGAGACGACCACATCTGGTAACCTTGACGCCCAATTAGCAGGGGATCCCCAAAACGGCTCGGCCAATCGCCGCAGGCGAGCCAAGAAGAGACGTGACGTCAGGTGCGATTAACTCGGCGCGTCACCCCGACGTCAACCTCTCCTCTGTCGGACGTCCCGTCCCGAGCAAAACTCCGGCGACTTTGGGCCCCGCCCCCTCGAGGCGAAGGGCGGCCAATGAGGGCGGCTCTGTGGGGACGCAGGCCAATGAGCAGCGGCCGGGGCGGGGCGCGAGCTCGAGGGCGGGGCGGCCGGCGGCCGTGGAAGCCCGAGGTCTGGCTGCGCGCAGTCTATGACAGTACGTCAGCAGCGGGATGGCCGTAGCTGTGGCGGCGGCTGCAGGAGCCCGAGCAGCCGCGGCCGCAGTGGAGGCTGGAGCCCGAGCGGCGTCCGCGGTGGCACCCCGGGGCGTTTAAGATGGCGGCGGGGGGGGCGGCGGGGCTGCGGGAGGAGCAGCGCTACGGGCTGGCGTGCGGGCGGCTGGGGCAGGACAACATCACCGTGCTGCATGTGAAGCTCACCGAGACGGCGATCCGGGCGCTGGAGACTTACCAGAGCCACAAGGTGAGCGGCGGGCCAGGCGGCGGGGC